GGGGGGGGGGAGCAGAAACTCAGCACTGCGCACCCAGGCCTATCCTCACGAATTTATAATCTTGCGAATCGGTTTGCCATCTTATTGTTTCTTGGCTACATGTTGGCTCTTCTTCTCTGTCTAATTTATTCAAAAATTCAGATAGAGGATACGACACTCGCGTACAAATCACTCGATGAGCACTGAATCTTTTCATCGGTCACGATATAACTATTTTTATCCCGAGGAGTATTTCGAAATCGATCGACAGTCATCACGAATTTCTCTAAACGTTCTGGTCACTTTACTGATACAAATAAGAATCGATTGATCTTCCGGTGGAAGCGAATCGTATTTTTCGTGATACGCCAAGAGCGAAATCTAACGAACTCTCCTCACTGACGTACAGACCGCTTCGAACTGACTCTCTGGGATCCCGCAAACATCCTTCGCATTCGAGGGACCACGTGACTACCACTAGCGGCTATGTTCTCGAGCATCAGGTAGGTAGTCACTCGACAGTGTGTTTCTGATTCCGAGAGGCAATGGCAGGCAGTGGAGGAGATAGTGAGCTGGCTTCAGGGTATGCGACGTTCTATCGGCTTGTAGTATCGCGTGAGAGAGTACGAGTTTCGAGGGAAAGGAAGACGAGGGAGAGAGGAGGAAGGGACGGGAGGAGGGCACTGTTGGCTATCCCTGCTCCTATGCTCTTACGCCATTACTATCCCACAACCACAGCCAACACTACCAGTATCACATCGCGCGCTGCTTTACACTGACAGGCACGACGACAGGGACGAATGAGCACTTTAGGGGAGCCTGTAATCGGCTGGCTCCCTCCAAGGAAACGATCCTTACAAACGCAATTGCTTGCTGGCTGTCTATAGGCCATAAAATAACGAATCGAGAAGATATACATTGAACTGACATAGACTAGAGTAGGTTTCATAGACAATAGTGTTGATTGAACTGCAATAGTTACAACGGCAGGGAGCCAGCACGTTGCATAATATAATGGCAATAACGATCATCAGGAACTCTGGCGGCTGCGCTATTGCCTTTCGGATTTGCCAATTAGTCGCAGTATACAGAGAATTTCGCAACGGCTGGCAATTATTTCACGAGGCGCACTTCCGTCGTAATTACGTCTCCTAATCGCACCGTGAATGCTGAAGCGCACGAGAACCAAAGGACGCTGCTAGGATGAGTCTCTTTCTCTATTTCCAAGGAACCGAGCTCCTATTACCGGCCATCAATTTCCAAGCACTCGAAGCGTCTAAGGAAATCGGGTTGCCGCTCTAGAGGCGCAATTTGTTTCACAGTCAGCACAGAGAATATTATAGGGAAAGATTCTCGCTTACCTGATGTTTGGCTGCTCGATGATAACCGGAGGACCGAAAGCACAGCTATTCCTTGAACTTCCATTCTTGACGACACATAGGGCACAGATGACTTGTTTGCTGCGAATTCAGCCACTTCATGATGCAGTGAATGTGAAAGCAATGCGAGCACTGGCCCCACACTGGAACAGAATCAAGAACGCGTTCGTAACCGTACAAGATATTCCGAGGAAGGATACATTCTCGCAGTGTCTCGCCAGTAGGGCAGTCAAGAGTTTTTGCGTGCGCGAAAGCGTAAGCGCTTCAAAACAGAGAGTAACAAAACGCTTCGACTGTTCCGCACTGACTGGCGATCGATATTTTCTCGCACATTGCGCAGCCGTCGGGTTGAGACTTGCCAAGCGTGTCGTTTCATACCCGACGCAATTTAGTGTCTAAAGTCGTGAGAATCGTGCTGTTAATGGCGATTTATGAGTAAACGATGGAAAGAAGAGCAAATACCTAGTGGACAATCATCGCCTGGAACCTTGCAGTCTGGACAGCTAGCATCGAAAGGCATTCGGCAAATGCCGCAATTGTCATCATTTGCGATCCAGCGCCACGTGGCGACGCCAGTCCAACCTAGAAAGAAAATATATTGAAAATCCTGTTGCTCGTGGCGACTATCAAACGACACAACCTCAACGATCGTTTTGCTACGAAGAACCGTTACTTCTAATCGTGAAAATTGTGAGAGAACCAAATCCTTTTGTTTATGTACGTTCTGGTACTTACTTTTAATGGTGACTTTCATTATATCACATGGCAGAGAGAAAACGGATAGAAGTTTGTACGAAACGTCAGAATCTACGAAAGAAACGTATACGAACGCATGAACATTGACAGTCACGTACCGCCGTCATTCGATCGCTAGATGGCGACTGATGGCGACTGATGGCGTCTGCAACATGAAGTTTGCGCAGCACGTGCAGCGATCCTAAAAGAACTTCAGAGAGGGACTATTTTTCTGGTTGAGGTTGCTCGCGTGTCATGGAAACGCTGCTGCGGCGTTATCTCGCAATAGGAATGCGTGTCGTAAATTGGAAACGTTGAAGCTGCGGAGATTTAACGTGGGAAACGGAGGGAAAGTGTCTCGTGGGGTGAGGCAGCAGTAGTCGAATGAGGCAGAAGCACATCCGCGAGGAAGACGGGAGGGTAGTGGCAGGAAAATGCTCGCGAAGCGAAGAAAGACGCGATGATGCTCCCCGAGTGAGTGGAAGCCTCGATCGTAGTGAGCCTGCCACTTGCGGCGACATGGCGGGTTTTCGGGAAGAGGATAAGGCTCTCTTCCCTATTCAGAGTATCTCCTCGATCGTACAAATCTTCCAGAACCAGCTGGAAAACAGTTCCGAGCCTGATTTGGCTCTGCTGTCGATTCTTGTTGGCGCTGTGGAAAATTCGCTAACCTGCAATCGGCCGGTTACGTCGCAAGAAAGCACCGTCTATGATGAGCCTAAATTGCCGGCCGTAGAATTTCACATCGCCGAGGCGCTTTATACTAAGTTCCATGCTGTTATCAAGGGTGCCGTCGACCTCACTGTCTACGACACTAAATATGCCACGAGAGAACTTGTCAAAAAAGTTTCGGATGTCGTATGGAATTCTCTTACGAGAAGCTACTACAAGGATAGAGCACATCTTCAGAGTCTGTACAGTTATCTCACGGCCAATAAACTTGACTGTTTTGGAGTTGCCTTTGCAGTTGTTGCAGGGTGTCAGGTCTTGGGTTTTAAGGATGTACATCTTGCCATGTCTGAAGATCATGCTTGGGTTGTTTATGGTGAGGATGGTAACGAAACAGCTGAGGTCACATGGCATGGTGAGTTTTTACTTGAAGATACTTTGTTAAAGAATCATTCGTTGGTCCTGTACCAAATTCATAATGATTTGTATTTGTATTTGTGGCAATAGGGAAAGGCAATGAGGATAAACGTGGCCAGCCGGTTGAAACTGGTGTAGCTTCCCGCTCTTGGCTCTATGTTAATGGACAAGCAGTTGTTTGCAACAGAGCCATGGAGGTTGCGACAATAGTTTCTGCCATAAATCCTAGTCTAAGCGCAACTGCGGATGCAGCTGAAGTAGCATTACTCCAACAGGAATTGCTTTGGCTTCTTTATGATTTGGGTCATCTTGCAAAATATCCCATGGCTCTGGGTAACTTGGGTGATTTGGAAGAAGCAGCACCGACACCTAGTAGACCACCCGCAATAGAATTATTTCAGGTACTCTTAATTATATTCAAGTCTCTTTTGGCAATAATTTTGATATGAATATGCAGAATTAGTGAGACTGAAAAAAATTTCAATTTTCTCCGCTGCAGGAGGCCGTTCGTTCGGCAAGAAAGTACTATGGGAATGCTCATGTTTATCCATATACGTATCAAGGAGGATATTTATACAGACACGGATTACATGCTAACGCGCTGGCCTCTTGGGCTGGTGCAGCTGACGTTTTAAGAAAGTAAGTTCAATTAATCATTCATTAATACGCAGTTAACTGGCGATAAGTTGAATAAAGTACTTAATGTATATAACTGTAAATTACCGTAAAGCAGTATACATACGATACTAACATCGCTTCATGTGGGACAGATACGATTACTCACGGGACGACGGCGAGATTTATAAGGAATTGCTGGAGATCGCCAATGAATTGATACCGCACACGGTGCGCGCCGATGAGCGGCTTCTACGTCAGCCACGTTGTTTTGCGTATCTTTTACGGTTTTACGACGGGATTTGCCAATGGGAAGAGGGGGCGAATACTCCGGTGCTGCATATCGGTTGGGCAAGGCCTCTTGTTAACACCATTTCAAAATTCGACGCGAGTATTCGTGCCCAGGTTGTAATCGACTGTTACGACGCAGACTCCAAGCAAGAAGAGGAGAAAACACGAAAGCGGGAAGCGACGCCCGAAGAGTCGCTCAACAACAACAACAACAATAATAACAACAACAGCTACTGCAAGACGAAGGAGCGAGGAAGTACGGCACGGGATCTCATAAAGAGTCTCGAGTCGAAAGTTCCAGCAAATCCGGCACCGATGCATCCCAGTATTCAGGCACTCACAGCAGCTTGCAGCGAGAAGATTCTTAATAGGGATTATCTACTTCAGGGTGGCGGTGAACCATTTGTTGCTCCTCCAGAGGATACTTTACCACCGGCACCTTCCACTTCCCAAGAGAATCTAGATCCAGAAGTAGAGACCGATTCTGAGAACGAGAAGCCCAGGATAACTCTGTACAGTCAAAAGATGAAGGGCTTGAAGGATCTGTTGCTCGCGGAGAAGCTCAATACTCACGCTATATCGCTTCAGTTGACTGCACAGAGTCAAGTACAAATAGGTAAGAAAGCTCGCGGTACCGACGAGGTCGGCGTCAATCAGCGTCCTAAGAGGACACGGCGAGAATAATGCAGCACACGAGCGTTCGCGTTCTCGCTACCAAGTATGGACGCCTCGCCTATCGTGTACGCGTCCTGTCCTCCGGAAAATAGCTGGTAGACGATCCGGGTGAGGAGGAAACTATGAAGTTACGCGGAAGGCGACGAGGACGGGAAGAGTTATGATTTTGTTTGTTAACGTCACACTCGGTCTACCCCTCGATTTCTCCGTATCGAGAAAGTTCGCCCGCTTTATTTGCATTCGTCCATTTGCTGCCGATTGTTGCGCGCAATTTGCAAAGGGGGAAACGCCTTTCTGCCTTACAAAATGAAAAGGAGAACCGTTAACCTTAGATGTAGATGTAGATGGAGTAGAGTAAGACACGATGAAATTTTCTAGAAGAGTACAAAAATTTTTCCTCATTTAGACAGGTGGGTCTACCTTGCTTTGACTATTCCGCGAATCGCTATTATTGTCGCTATTATTGCTATTATTGCTATTAACACTATTCTGGCCGACGTTTCTTGCGGCTGAATCTATTTCCTAACCCTTTCGTTGCACTCTCCCTTATTTATTGATTCAAGTTTTCTCGAGGTATCTATTGCACTGTGAATTATGAATTACGAATTACGATTAATACGTTGTCGTTACATGATTTTTACACGGTAGTTGAGACTTCTGTTAGAATTACGCTTTTATGATCTAACAAGGGAACCACTACATTCCACTCCTTAGGTGGTGCAAAATAATTAAGTTTTTTTTTTAGCTAAGGTACCTTAAGCATCAAATGCTCGCTTATTTTTATAACTATTTATTTTCAAAGTAATCTTAAGTATTTATAGGCCGTGGTTCCCCCCGCCTGCCCCTTATTTTTTTAAATTCTCGTTATGGTTACTTGACGCTGATATCGAATTATCGCACGTAGCAAGCTGTACGCGTAATCATTGATTGATCGCAGAACTAGCGAAATTTTATTCGTTCGACAAGGAAAAAAGTATTAAATTCCGATTGGATGATTTTTTTATTCACAAACTAACCGAATGCCTTCGGTTTCCTTAAGATGCTGGAGTACATAGAATTATTTCTCGTTCATGAGAACCGAGTTGAACCAGCGTAAGTTGAATGTCGAAAAAGCCGTTAGCGTGAAACGGCAGTTTCGTCGTAGAATAGAAGATGATTGAAATGATGATGATGCTAACGAATACAAATTGGTCGGAGGAGACCAATGATCACGTTTATAATGAAGGGCGCTATCTTACTGTGATGCTGAATATACTATACATATACTATTAATAACCGTAGAAATAGTAAGGAGGAGCACGCCAAAGATCGAGTGCGCCTCCGAGTGATTCGATTTTCGAGACTCGACGGGAGGAGCGATCGATCTTCGGCTCGCTGCAGATAAATATATATTATATTATAAATATATATTATATTATATACACTAACGGACGACTGCAGTAGTCATGTAATGTACTGGACTACGACGAGGCATTTCTTAAAATTTGGGAAAATGCCAGGGAAAGAAGAGTGTCCTTTTAGAAAGGCTAACGAACCTGCGAAAATTGAGTGGGATCGAAAGATAGCGCGCTGATGTACGTTGCCGTGGCGCAGAAGGAATAGGAGAGAAATGAAGAGAGAGAGAGAGAGAGAGAAAAGATTAAAAGTGCGTAGCAGATGCACGCTCTTGCATTGGGAATGCGTGTGCAAATGCGCTGGACGCGTGTCGACTGCTCTCATTCGCCTAAGCGTAAACGTACCTTAATTCTAATAAGCACGATTTGTTTTGTCCAGGTGGGCCAGCCGGCATTTTTCAGTATTCGATGCTGCATCGACGCGTCACAAAAACAAAGCGACAGCGCGGTTACGCATTAAAGGTGTCGATACGCATAATAGTAGTTATACGAGAGATACGGTGTAACAGAACAGTATTTTTATATTAACGGGGCGCGGAAGTCTGTTAGCAGCGGCTCGGTGCTGTGCTTAATTCAAGGCTATGACGGTGGCAGCGGCGGCGGCGGCGGCGGCGGCGGCGGCGGATTTCGTAAGCGCGCAGATGGCGATTCGTCTGTGTGACGTGACGATGATATAAATCATGCGAATAACATAAATGACTTCGCGACTCTTCTTTTCGGTGATTTGCGCGCTCCCGTAAACACTCTTTTACGTTTTTCCCTGTTTTACCACGCTGATCGCTGACTTTCTCATTTCTACCGTTTAGCCCCTCCAGACTTTTTATTTTCACATACTCCTATTCAGCTGCTTAATATTTCGACGACGAATTCTAGCAGCTAGCATTGTAAACCGATATTTTTTTGTAATCTGGTTCGCGACGCTATGGCCGATATTAATCTTGGACACACACCCTGCCTTTACTTCTTGAACATCGATGTCAAATAATTGTCTGTAAAAGGGTCTGTTCTGTGCGCTAAATTCAATGAGGATGGTCATACTGTCGAATTTACTATTCGCCTCAATGATAAAACTACTTCGTGCCATAGGTCCCACTTTTCCTTCGATTCATAAGCACTGTCGTCGATTCTGTGAAAGATTATAATCAAAATGCCCCATTGTCCTTAGCGCACAAGAGTGACCTGGCTGTGTAGCATCTAGTTGGTCCGACGCCGACCACTCCGTAGTCGACATGTAAATAAGTGAGACTCAAGTGCTCGATGCTTTTCAAGGACGTTAATCATACAGAAAATACGCGAGCGAGACGCCGCCTGTCACTTTGAAATTTTGGCGATTGACTTCCGTAAAGTCTTCGATTGTCGTTCTGAAATCATCGAGTCCTCGCGTCTTCGCCGAGAATATTCATGTAACAATTTAATCGACGAAATCTACTTCCACGGGGGCATGTAACTAGAGGGATTAAGCTACCTATTCGTAGAATCATAAGTAAAAAAAAAACTCTTTATCCCATTCGCTGAGAATACTTCATGTACTTAAAGGAAGCTTCTGTAGGAGCTGCAGCATCAGTGATACGTTATTACGATTGTTATGTTAACACTTAACTACAAAGCTACTCCTTGTTGAGGCCTCACAAGCCTCTTTTATCCGATCGACGAATGTGCATCCAATTGCATAATGAATTTGCTCTCCACGTTAAACCGTCAGAGATGCTATTAAATAAATAAAGAGATGCACGACGCTCTCGCTGCTTTTGCCATTTACTTCTTTTGATATTTTACGCACGAAATAATCATGGCGAGAGCACGGAATAGGGTACATGCTACTCGACTGTTGGGAACTCCCTTGTTCCCATTTCCACACACATAAAATATTCTCTTCCGATGATTTTTCTGCGACGTCAAATAGTGTAGTTGCAGTTGTTGTTAACCGACAGAACAGTGAGTTGTAAGGCATCATGGGAATGTCTTGTTTTTCTGTGGATCACAATAAACTATTTTATTCTAATTTTTCATCAGGAATCTCTTTGTCATCCTTCCCCAAATCTGCTTCTCGATAAATAAATAAGGTAGAGTGAGAAACGTTAGCAATTGATTGATATATCTTTTTTTATTGGATGACTTACAACAGAGTCGCGATGCATTATCTTTACGTGATCGAAGGAAGATTACAGGAAAAAAATATTCGACAAGTTCCTTCGAAAGATAAATTATTGCAATCGCTTGTGGTGTGATGATATTGAATAATATCATAATTGAATGCTTGAAATTAGATAAGTCATCCAGAAGTAGAACGAGTGATAACGCGTTAAACGATTATAATATAGAAAAGATGAATAATAAATTACAGGTCGACTAACGTAACTCAGTGTAACAGTAATATTTGGTAATTGGTTGTCTTTAATATAATGTAGAATATTACGCAGTGACGGCGCAGAGTGAAGCGTCTTCGATGGCGTCTTCAGCGAAGCCACGCGTGGCTCCATGTCCACGTGAATGTTACCCTTAATGGAGTACGGCACGCTGGTAACTTACACTTTACGCTTACTCCTAGTTTTGCTATAATACAAAAGGTCAAAGGTTGCCGCTCACTGAAGATGACCTTCGACCTGTCTTATATGGATGAATTGGTGAGAGGAATGGCCGCGCTAATACTGGCTATTTTCCACGTCGACGATGAAAATCGCGCGATTTCTTCTAAGAAAGTTATATGATCATCCGACGACGATTTATTTCTCATTTGAAAATTTGGCATTAAATTTATCGTTATCGTATCGCGATCAGCAACCATTGAGATTCTGCGATTCTCCATCTTGAAGGATGCTCAAGGTACGCGAGTGAAACTTCTTATTGATGATCGATCGTTTGGAAAAACCACTCAGTGAATCGTCGAAGCTGCTGAGCAGCCGCGTGACTCTCGTCCTGTAGTCGACGATTCTCATCTCGCAGACGACGTACTTCATCCTCCAGTGAGAGTCGTCGACGAGTCTCACGAGCCACCCTTAGTTCTAGAGTAGATACGTGAGTCTGTAGGTCGGTCACGGTATTCCTGGAAAGATCAAAATCAGCCATAATGTAATTTCTGCTAAAAATTGAAGTATCCTGTCGCTCTCTGGGTCTCCTTTATTTACGTTATAGCGTTGGTCCCGTCGATGAGTCTTTCGTCGCACCAATCTTGCCCGTGCTGCTTCGTCGCTGATCTACCGTTCGAATCCACGTGATTGGACCAGCAGTCAATCTCTGCGTCGGATTGGTGCTTCGTTGAATCTCTGACCGTCGTCAGGTTGCTTGCAGGTTTCGATGTAGAATGAGGAGGTTTTGTGACGCGGGGAGATAATCTAAAAAAATGACGGGATGGTGTGATATTAGTCTTGCGAATAAAGGATAGGACGCAAAATGCGTAAGAGACTGTGGAAAATTCAAGTACCTCTCTTCCTTGGACATTTTATTCTCGCTAGGTGCGGGACTCGAGGCAGTACTGGCATTGGAGATGACAGTGGCTGGCCTGGCCATCGTGAGAATAACTTCAGAACCATTGTTCCCATTTTCTTGACCATTCGTGGGTAGAACACTCAGAGTAGTAGCGCTGTTACCGCAGAGATTCTCTCTGGAGCGACATCTATTCTGAATCTCGATCGTATTGTTATTTGTTTTATTAGAATTTTGATTATTAGTCAGCACGTTAGTAACATTATTGTTAGTCGTCTGATTCTCGTCAGCTATGTAATCTGGATTAATAAGCTTCATGAGATCCTCTTGAAGCGTACTGGAAGTCAAATTAGCCGAATTTCTATGGGAGTTTCGAACTCCTGGCTTAGGCCTGGGGCTCTGATTCCTTGATCCTCCGCTCGATGGAGTCAAATTGCCACCACGATGCCTATTTGATCGTCGCAATCTAGGGGAGACGTTACCAGAGCCATTCGACAACTCATCTTCGCTCGGTAGGGTAGAGATGTCCGTCGAGTTCCCGTCGTTTGCCATTCGCATCTCAGGCGGAAGACTGGACGAGGCAAAGTCCTTTGGCCTGTACTCGATGCTCACTTTGTGAGGCATTGGTCTCTCGCTCATGGTCGCCTTCAGACAGGTAACCTTCTCTCCGACCTTAAATTCATGCGCCGAGACTTCGAAACGGATGTTTTCGCGATTTCCCTCCGTTTGCTCCAATTTTCGTATCACCGGTTGACTCTCCATTTCATATTTGATATCATTGCGTATCATGTCGCTTTCATATTTGCCGCGACGCTCGTATTGTTCTTCGGGGAAGTCGTAGCTGATTGTTTTCTTGTCTCCTGGCCGCGTGTCCTGATCATATTTAGAAACCGGCGGCCTCTCGCAGCAGTTCTTCTCCTCGTAGATCTCGTACTTGGAATTCCCATGACTGGTCTGCTCGTACTCGTTGAAACGCATCAAGTTATTGTTACTACCGGACTTGGGAAGGCTGTAGCCAGCATTCTGAGCCAGCGGCAATGAATTCGAGGCAGTGAGCTTCTGGTGGTTGTGGGATTCGCTCTTGTGAAGATCACGTTGCGAAGCGTAGAGATTCTCTTGTTTGATCTCGTACCTCTCCTTCTGCAGCTTCACATAGTTGGATCCATGATGATCCTGAACACGGTGATGCACGTTCTCTAGCCTATGATAATTTTCATGTCTACCAGACTCAGCGACGCGCGTAGTTGCATAGTTATTCTCCCTGAGATAATGTTCATGGCCATAGGAATGTTTAGGATTTTCAGAAAGCTGTTTTCCACTCGCATACTGTGATTCCTTTTCTTTTTTTTGATTCGATGCACTCTTGTTCGGCGTTACGGCTTGGTAGTTATGACGCGCAGGAAGGGGCGGTGGAGTACCGTCTGTTCGATGCGCGGGATCCTGATCCTGTGGGTCCAGGAGTTCATACCTGGAACGGAACAAACTTACATATATCTGGAATGGAGGGAAAACGGCAAGCAATATGTCCTCGCTAAAAACGCACCATCTATCGTCTGTACTGCTGTGACCGCTGCTGCTACTTGTCATTGTTCCTTCGAGAGGGAATCGCGGATCGTTGAAGGACGTGGAGCTGGAACCTGTGCCGTAGCCGGAACTGTTGCTCGATCGTGGAGGGCTGAAAGAGCGGTCGTATCGCTTCTGATGCGACATGGCGGTTTGTTGCGTCGGGGTGCTGTCAGGATTCGTTACGTTTTCGTAATCCCCTTCGTAATTACTTGAAAGATACTGACAATTCTGCAGGGTACAGCCTCTGTAAAGATTATACTTTACTGGATAATGGCATTGTTAGGTAGAGTAGTTGAGGTACCGGAGCGTGAGCTCTACCTTCGGGGACTGCCGTCGTTGGTCGGTGGGATGACAGTGACTGTCACCTGAGCACTGGTCTTTAAGAGGTCTACCATCTGATCGTGACTTAGGGTAGACACGGCTACTTTACATATTTCAACGAGCCGGGAGCCTTGCCTGAGTCCGGCTTGCCAGGAGAGACCCATGCTCTCGACCTGTGTGACCACTCCGTCCGGTTGCACATGAAAACCCAATTGCCCGAGAGTGTTCCTCTTGAGGGAGAGCTCCGAAGCTGGTGACCCTTGAGTGACAGCTCGCAGACGAGCTACGATTTCCATAAGTTCGTCCCGTTCACCGTAGTCCCCTCGCACGTGCACAGTGATGCATTCTCCTTGATGATGATAAAGGCGCAGACTGTTACGGAGAGACAAACTGTCATCAATGCTTTTGGACTATACTAAAGAATTTCTTTTGATAAAAGCTTAGTGAATCCGATTTTAACCTATTAGTCTGAGCATGCCATCCGAGAACGCTGACGCAGGGCGTCACGAAAACGATCTGCCGAGAGTGTTCCTCGATCAGGACGATCGTGTCTACGCTTATTCCCAAGTAACAGTCCGTGTTCTGGTTACTGTCTTCGAGGATGACTTGCCAGCAGATTGCACCGCGTTGGGACGCATCGCACGAAAGTCTAGGACGCACTGGTACCTTCTTCTTACTACTGAAGGATAGCATCGCTGTGGAAAAAAAAAAAGCGTTGAGCAAAGAAATATTGATAATTGATAAGTTTCAGTCAGTACAATAAATTTTAAACTGCATACAGAATTTTTGACCAGTGTCAACAACCGTGGCGGAGGAGTAGTTGGTCGTTAGGTCCTTTAGGTATTCCTGTCTGGTTCTGGTAGCCATGGTGGCAAACTTCTCGGATCTGTGGGCAGCATTCTCCGCATTGATGACTTTCGCCAGGATGAAATCCGCGAAGGCTTTTCCCTTTGGGAACGTAGCACCTGGGGGAACTGGTGGACCAAATATGGGAACCTCTTTGCTCCTGGAGACGGCTATACTGTACTGTGTGTTCTCGGAGCAAGGATTGGTTGCCTTCACGATGACAAATACGTGTTGAAACTGCGAACGTATCCTGCGAGGGCTGAAGGGCAACGCTCCGGGTTCCTGAACAGGATGAAACGGTCGCAAGATGTATGTAAGGAGAACGTGGTTCGATATTACGTGATCGACCGAGTAAGAGACTACCTGGAAGACTATCGTGACGATGTCATTTCCAATATGTCGCTTTCGGAGAAGCTGCTGTCTGTTATTTGGTGTGAAAGGAAGCATAGTTGAGACGTGAAAGGTGACTTCGGCGCCCCGATGAGTCGCTGCGACGGCGTGGGTCCCCGTCGAATCCGTCTGGGTATCAAGGCCGGCCTTATAGCCCTCGAAGCCTCGCAGTCTTATTCTTTGGCCTGTAATGTTTATTCGTAGGAGCATAATCCAGTAGAACAGGAGTCTCGTGGCTTACCGATCGTGTCGAGGAACTCCAGGAAAGCGGGACCAGCGTGCTGGTTGTTATACATCTCCTCCTCGGTACGTTGTCCGGTTCTGCAGTAGAGCACACCGACTTTGTACCTATTTGACAGTCCCTGTTCATCCAGCCGAGCTACGGGTTCCTCTGCGGTAGGAGTTCCCAGTCTGAGACAACCAAGCTGGACTTCCGGTGCGACCAGTTCCAGGAGCTCTCTGGTCGGTGGTCTCCCCTGGGGCCTGATGCCCAGAGCTTCCTCTGGCACTGTGCCCCGTAGAGTGAGCAGTTCGGAGGTGCGCACGATGATCCGATACTGGTTGGCGTCCTTGCGGATGCTGATGGCCACTGGCCCCAGCTGTTCGTCCATTCCAAACCAATTTTGATGTTCTCGACCTGCATCAAATATTTTCTCAACATAGTAACTACTTAACCCTTTCGACAGTCTCTCATAGAAATGTCAAAGCCTAGATGACAAGACACAGAGGACAAGAAGACGCGTTCAACTTACCGAGGAAGTATCTTCGGTAATAATGCGCCCCTTCGTCGACGCTCTCGATGGGCAGGGGACGCTTCTGCAGGGGGCAGGTATGTTTCCAAAGAGTTTCACCGGGTGGCGGTTCCAGAACGGAAATCCCATAAGCCAAGGGTGGTCTGTGAACCCCATTGACATTAGGGCAGCGAGTCAGACCGACTTCGCGTTCGCCCTCGCCGCCCGTCTCGTTCCGGAAGAACGGGCAAGACTCCAGAAGATCGTTTCCCTTCCCGTCGCCAGCATCCTCTTCCGGTGCCTCGTCGGGAGTGGATGCTCTGAGGGAACTCGCTGCCGATGCTCCTGTAGCCGTGTTCCTTCTTCTAGCCAGCAAAATTCCACGGAGTTTCGCGGCGTAGCCCAGGTTGGCAGTAAGAGACTGGCAGTCGTAGTGAGCGAAGGCTCTTCTCCTGTGTCTTTCCTCCACGTCGGCAGAAACGACCGGACTCGAGCAAGACTCTTCGGCGCCCCGAGGGGGCTTCCCGCCCCAGAGACGATTGAGCTTCAGCCGGAGTTTCGGACTGGATCCAGTAGGACCCACCCCACAGACCTCGCTCACGTCCGAAGCCGCTTGACCGTCCTGGACGCGTCTCAGGAAGTCCCCGGGCACAGGACCAGAACGATTCTCGACCGGACGGAAGTCTTGGAACATGGCGAAAAAGTTCTCGCCGACTGACACGGATTGGGCGACTACGTCGATGCTCCCGTGGGAGCCATACTCCCGACGGAGAGGAGTGTCAGGCACCCGGGACGAAGGGTCAGGACTGTGAGGTAACTCTAGGCTGGAGTTGGATCTGTGCAGAGTGACTCCTCGCCCAACACGGCTTATCGGTCCTATCCCACCTCCGCCGGCACCGACGCTGCCGCCGCCTCCACCGCCGCCTCCTCCCCCGCCGTTCACCGGAAGGCTCGCGATCATCTCGTCATCCTGAAAGTAAATTAAGATCTCTCAGAACAGTTTGACGATGCACCGAATTCGGAGATCGTCCAGATTAACAGCCGGCAACATAGAAATCTTTAAAGAGGTTATCTCGCAATGGCGTTTCCGTAAAATCCAATTCGGTTCGCTACTGCGGCGCCGGACGCCGGACGCCGGGCTCGAACTGCTCAGAAAAGGTTTCTCAGTTCGAGTCTTCGTGGGTCGGCACTCGCTCGAGCGACGCTCACCAGCTCGCCCGTAGCTATTCGGCATGAATGACCGAGGAGGGTCAGCCAGCCGTGCATTCCATGCATTCCACGCATTCCACGCATTCCGGGGATTCCAGGCGTCACTTTGTGCCACGCCATGCTACTGGACTACTGGGCTACTGGGCTGCTGCTCTGGCTCGCAGAACCGATAAGGCTACGTCAACCAGAAACCAGGATTCGCAGGAACGACATACATAGGCGGGGCACATGTACCTCCTTCGACGAAGTCTTAATACACGAGAGAGTATCCGCGAGCATCCGAGTATGTGGATCTGTGGGTGGATCGATTAATCGGATCGTATATAAGATGGGATTGATTTCAAGGAGACGACGTCCCACGCGAGATCAAGTGACACGGCATCCATGGAGACGCTATCAGTCGTACGGGCATTCGGGCTTCCGAGGACACGAGGTGTCGGGCAGTCTCTTTTTCTGGCAGAACAGTGGGAGAGAGAGAGAGAGAGAGAGAGAGAGAGAGAGAGAGAGAGAGAGAGAGAGAAAGAGGATCGGGAAGAAAGTGGCGGGAGAAGAAAAATAAGGGAATCAGTTTTTCCACGGCATAATATAAACGTAGATAAAATCTCACTGATCGATCCATACTCTTAAATGCTTCCGTTAGTTTTCTTCCTTCTGTGTAAGTTTCAAGTTGACGAGGCTGATGAGGCTGATGAGGCTGATGAGGTACCTCCGCGCATGTTTATTGCTCATTCGCACCTCCTAGCCAAATGGTGATGCTACAGCGGGCATAAATTATCATACGAAGCGATCGTTCGTTACCGGAACAGGATCCCGCGAAGAGTCCTTGCTCGTTTGGGCCCGTAGGAATGCCGTCTGCGCAGATCCCTTCTCGAATACGTTAATCTCTTTGACGTAAAACCATTTGACCGATTCTCGACCTCGGCCTCCTCCTCTGCTCCTACTTCCACTCGTGCAAGGTTATACCAGAGAGCGAGAGCGAGAGAGAGAGAGAGAGAGAAAGAGAGATACGATCCCATTCAATCCTGGGAGAGGCAACACTCCCACGGTAGGCAGTGCAGCAGGTATAGTTGCTTCGAATATAGTGGAAGCGGGTCGTACGATCAGCACAAGTAGCACAAGTAGCGCGAGTAGTACGAGGCGCCTCTTACTCCGGCCATTCGAGTTTCCCGGAATCGGAGTGTATCCCCCGATGATCGAGAAGTCGCGTGGGATAATAGGCAAACCGGTACTCGGCCGGCCGCAGTCTACATCAACGCGTCGATCCCTTCGAGGGAACGTGGGAATAAAAGGTGCTAATAGGAGTGGCAGTCGTGGTGAGAGAAGCAAAGACTGCCAGTGCTATTATTTGTACTTCTCCCGAGAGAGAAGTACAAGGATCGAGTCTAGGTGGCGAGAGGAAACCTCGAGGCGTCGAGTCTAGCGGTCTAGCGGGAGTCTGCCGCGAGTCGTTCGCGTTCCCTACGAAGTCGAGACGCTCCGCGGGGTTGATCCTCTTCTTTGGCGAAAGTTCCAGGCTGGCATATCGGCCATATTGTGCCCTGCCGAGCCTACGATGGCTACGTTCACGTTCCACGGTCTACATAAACGGTATAACGTACCGAAACGAGCGGCAATCCCGCATCGGTGCTCTAACCGTTTAATTTATTGGTGGCGCGTCGCTGTCCGATTTGGTGGGCTGACGCCGACTGACGCCGACTGACGCCGGTTCCTGCTCCCGGGCTCCCGGACGTCTCGCGTCAGAATGGCTTTAAACCGACAAGGGATTTCTTCTCAGATCCTGATCCTGTCGAGTGACGCAATCCTTCGAACGACCAGCAGCTCAGGACGAAGAGAGAGGAGAAAGTAAAAAGCGAGGCGAAGCGATCGCATCACTGTCGCCGCCGAGGTATCGAATAGGAAGAATAGGAAGAATAGGAGCTTCAAGGTGCCCGAGGAACGAGAAGCGAACCTCTAGAGGAAGGCAGGGAGGGAAGCGTCCACGAGTGTATCAGGTTCTGCAGAGGGTGGCGCACAACCAGTCCGTCCGTTGCCCGCGCCTCGGTGTGCGTCATGGGAATGTTCAAGGTGCGTGCAACCGCGAGTCTCTAGATGCGCCCGGAGGCAGCTGAAGAGCCCCATAGACACCCTCCGTCCCCGCGCTGGCTAGCCGTGCCTGCGCGCACAGGTGAATCGGCAATGGCCGATGGAAAATCGTCGATCTCCCCAGGCACACCGTACAAGCGAGCAAGGATATCTGCTTCGATAGTTTCCACGGATGGCCTCCCCGGCCGACCAGCACGCTGCTCCTTTCTACGATTCTCCCGCCCTACTAGCTGGCGCACTGTGTACTTACTGCGCGTCCACCCTTCCACCCTTCCACCCTTCCACCCTTCCACCTCTGATTCCTGCTCCGTCGGCCACGCGATTTCCCTGCGAACATTCAAACACCTCAATCCCGGGGTTACGTTTCCTTTGCCGCATTCCACATTATCGATGCCTTCGCTCGAGGAATGTAACGCTGACAAGTCGAACTAGTTATGTAAATAATCGTGACTTCTTGACGCGGTCCTTGCGCATCGCTAAACCCAACGTCTAAACGTCTTCGATGGATCTCCGACAAATGATTACGGAGACAAAGGAGGTGGACATTTAGGTATCGGCCGATGCTAGGGGTCTCTAGCTCTAGGGACGAGTGGATGGACAGGAAGGCTGGAGCCAATAGGAGCCAATAGAGGCGCCAGTATAGACGCGAGCGAAGCGTTCCCAACTCGTTGACCTACTCCTCGAGGAGATTCCTTTCTCTCTGGTGGGGCGACCATGGGGAAGCTGCACGATCCCTCGCGACCCGGGAAAGCGCCGCTCGGATTTTCTCAGCCCAATCGTGCCTGGCATCCACGTGTACCCACACGCGCGCACACGTGCAAGAGACACGGTGGGCGCGATTCGCGTGAACGTGCGTGCGCACCCGCATTGCGTACGAGTTAATTACGATCCGGGGCTACCGTGCGATTACGAGACATGCGGTAATCACGAGTTCACGTATATATTCCGAGTCTTCGGACGCTGACCGCGTGTCGCGACGAGACTGCTTGACTTGGCAGACCGAGTTGGCAGGTCGTCTACTTGGCAGCCCGTTCGAGGAGCACATGCATTTCGGCCAGTCTCCCTCCTCTTCTTCCATCCGGTCGCCAGTCGCCGGTCGCCAGTCGCCAGTGGGACGCGCCTACAGGCGCACTCGAGAATTACTCTACGTGGAAGGTGGACTCCTAGAGGCAGAGATGCTTATAAGGAAACACAACGGTGAGCCATACCGTTCCTGCAGCGCCGACGGTCGCGGGATGATCGAGAGTAAGCAGTAATCGGGGGCAGCGGATCAAGGAGCGAGGATCGTCTTGGCTCATCCGTGAACGCGTTGCGCCATTATGCGAGAGACATTCCAAGTATCGCATATCGGTAGAGTGCACTTCGGAGTACCAAAGTATCCCTGATAAGAGCAATAAATCGTAAAGGTCCATCGGCACGGGAGGTTGACTGCAATTAATTGGCCTCCTTGTAGCCCGCGATGCGTCGCGACGCATGGATTTCAGTACTCGAGTCATCCAACTTTCCGTCGCCTCGATCCGACTTTTGCTCCCTGCTGGTCTCGAAGGAGTCGCACGGTGCGTGCGAAGTCGCCTCGACGCAGGCGTCGTTTCTGCGAAGCAGTGCTAATCGTTTAATGGGAAGGGAGGAGACTTCGGGCGTCGAACCCGACGCTCTGGCACGGCTGTCCGCGTCTAGTCCCCTGCTCGTGGGCTCCACCGAGACGTATAGGTTCCCGATCTACTCGGACTCGCCGGCCTCAAATCCTCACTCCCGCGCTGCTAGTCTACTTCGGTACGCGAGGCAGCCCTTTTTTGCACTTTCTCGTCCCGCATCCTTCCCCGCGCAGAAGGGGACCCTCGGCCTTTTTATTTCCCCGCTTCTTCTTGCTCTTCTTCTGGAGCAGATCGTTCCGGGGGGCCGTTGCTTGCATACGCTGGCGCGTACCGATTGTCGGCAATGAGAAGCCACAGAGCTGCCAACATAAAATCATCAGCCTCTGTCCGCACAACTCGAGCCACTCGGGCTCTCGTTTACGGTCTTTCCATAAACCGCGATGAATTTATTCGGTCAATTCCGGGCAATTGGATCGGAATGCGGGGCCTGTTCACTCGGCAAGCAGTGGCCTCGCTCCGAGCTGGGTCCAACGTTATTCGTATCCGTAGGATCGTGACTCATCTCGGTTACACGCAGCCAGGTCCGACAGCACCATTCTTGATTCTGCTCCGTTTGTTTCTGCCTCCGCCCTGCGTATTCTGCGCCTCGCCGTCTTGCGTCGTCGTTGCTGCTGGTAGTGTTGTTATAGTGTCCCGCTCTTGTTATTCTTACACGTGCAATTGGGTGGAGCCTCGTCCTGCCTCGTCCTGCCTCGTCCTGCCTCGTCCTGCCTCGGTTACGTAACATAAGACGTGCCCGGCCGAGGCTCGACAGGGCCCCTCGAGAGATCGCATTCCTTGATGCCACCCTCGCAGTAGCGTAGGGATCGAAAAAAGGGAAGGAATTTTTGTGCCCGGGGCCCGAAAGACGGCCGGAAAGCTCTGATCACGAGGCGACTGGCTGCCTTCGTGAAATTCCCCTAGGACGCGCTTCCTCCTATTTGAATTCGGGTACGATGTGCTGTCATGTTTCACGAGTCGATCGCTCGAGTCGAAGCAGCATTGCCGACGCCACTGGGTAAATAATCGCGACGACAGCTGCCCC